CAGCCCAAACGGGCCATCTAAAGCGTCCACTCTACGGCCCCAGCCTCCTGTTTACCCATCATATATGCCTCCGATTTCACCTCACCGGGTTACGTGTCTCGTCCCGAAGACCAGAATCTCCCCGTCTAATCTCAAGAACATCTCAAAGTGACACTTGATACCTAGCCGTTACCAATGGCTCATCAAGCCCCCGCTGGCCTGCTGCCTACCAGCATGCGGGGGCTGTTGTTGGACAGCTGACTATAGAGGAGAAGGTGAACACCACCAACGGCCGCCTCGGGGGACCTTGCGTCGGTTACTTGGGTAGCATCTCATGCCTCGGTGTCACATCCCTCTGCTTCTCTGACGGCCCGGACGGCTTCCATGGGGAAAAGTTTGTCTCAGTCTTCCCAGCGGGCATCCGTGTCACTGCGACGTTTGACCGGTCGCTGATGTACGAGTACGGTGGTGCGCACGGCGAAGAGAACTGCGCCGAGGGTGTCCATGTCGCCATGGGGCCCGTCGCCGGGCCGCTCGTTGCTATCAGACTTGAAGATGTAATCGCCCTCATTCCAGCCGTGACCATGACTACCTGGACATGGAACTCAGAAAATGTCTCCCCTGAACGCTACATACATAAGTTTCCTTACTGCGAACACCTGTCTAGCTGGAGGCAACATCTTCATGGCCTGGGTAGCGGGACTGTAAGTCCTGTACATTCACCATCTGAGATGGGAAGCGCAGAACCTGACCCGAACAAAGATAGCCTACCTCATGAGCCAGAGGCAAGATCTTTGATCATCGGAGCGTCCGTGACTGCTGCCTACGCCGTAGCCGCGGGCGTCATGATTCTTATGTGGCCTGCGTCCAAGGCACTATATTTTGAGAGCCAAACGAGACCTCTCAAAGAGAGATCTGGAGGGCATATGAAGCTGAATTGCATATCTTTAGTCAATCATGGTTGGCCAACAACCATTGTCACATGGACCATCACGGCCGCACTGTGCGTGGTGCTTCACTACCTTGACCGGAGGTATCTTCTGTATAGCCGACATCTGAACACTACGAAACGTGAATCTTAAGCAGCTGACGAATGGCAAACAGGCCCGAGAGGATCGAGTCTGGCGAAGCCAATGGTCTTGTTGTTTAGTCGTCGAGTGATGGAGGATTGATCGATAGAGCCCAAATCCGCCGAAGATAAGAGCAAGGGGCCGGTTGACACCACCAAATCTATCTGAAGGTGCCTTGTCTCGACAAGGACTGGAGCAAATGGTTCCTTACCAGGTAGCGAGGTACGTCAAGCAGAGCTCCAACACCTCCGTTCAGCGAGAAGTAATAACATAAATGCATAAACTCGAGCCTTACTTCAGGTAGAACTCACCCACAGATCATGAATCCATTTGTCCACTCCAAAAAAAAAGGTAACGCCTAGGTAGTGTAGACAGCTTCCTGAGAGACAAGACCCCAAAACATTCACAGATGTGAGACATAAGGTAGTATGAATATAAAACGGGCGACTTACAGCTCAAAGTCCAACTCTCCGCAGCTAGGAAATTTTCGCAGCCCTCATAGACACGCTGCTGTGGTCTCAAGCCCCTGACCTATCCCCTCAGTCACTTGTTGCTTGGCTGCGCAAATGCTTCTTGAAATTCGCACAACAAGTGCATCAAAGATGTTCATAAACGACCAAGCGCCAGTGGTCAGCATGAACAAGGCAAAATCTTGCGTTCTTTCCATGGTACAGTAGAAGGCTTGATGAACATGACTTCAAGGTGGGAAGATTGCGCCACATGAGAGTTTAGAGGTGATATGAGGGTGTAGGACTTCCGCAGGCTTGTATGACTCCATCCTAGAGGTTCTGCGAGATTTCCAGACAATGTCACTGCCTGCAGCTTCACGAAACTAAGCCCAAGTGAGGGAGATGTGACGAGCCAATAAATGCAATGACAGGAGAACGCGCCACCAACAGCCCTGACCTGACCCGATCATCACGTCGTGATTTGGCGGAGCGTCTGTGGCATTAATAGGGAATGTCAAAACAACTCGGGCAGGAAACATATTCAATCATAGGCTCTACGATGATGAATTAGGCCAGGCTCAACTCAGCCTGACGACTGTTCAATTAGCCCGGGCGATCATGTTTTGCACATCAGGTCCGTTCATCATTCGCGACACAGCCACCACAACATGACCAACGACCACACCACTACCCAATTTCGGCGGTCTCGTCAGGCGTTTTCGGTTTGCCCCGAAGCATACTTTCAATACATGGCAAGAATTCTTGGTCCGCGGCCAACTCTCGCGTAATACCTC